TTTACTTTAACATTAATTAGATCTGTCTGTCTGTCTGTCTGTCTGTCTGTCTGTCTGTCTGTCTGTCTGTCTGTCTGTCTGTCTGTCTGTCTGTCTGTCTGTCTATCTATCTATCTATCTATCTATCTATCTATCTATCTATCTATCTATCTATCTATCTATCTATCTATCTATCTATCTATCTATCTATCTATCTATCTATCTATCTATCTATCTATCTAGCTATCTAGCTATCTATCTAGCTATCTATCTAGCTATCTATCTATATATACACGGTACGGTGTTGGGTAAATGAAGTAGCTAAAGCTAATCATAAATATTTTCTCTAGTGTCATTTAAACATTTGCAGAAAAACTGCTCAAACTTGCCATTTCTCTTTACTGCGTGTACAAAAAACAATGACTTTACATTTTGCATTATGTTTGGTCACAACTTCAAGGAGCCACAAACCAAAGACCAAAGAGCCACAGTTGCAGACCCCTGGTCTAAAGGGTCACATTTGCACTCCTTAAAACATCCTCAAATATATGAAACATGGTTCATTTGGCCAGGGCAGCACAGTGGCGCAACTGGTAGAGCTGCTGCCTCTCAGCGAGCAGGTCCCTGGTTCAAACCCCGGTCCAGGGGCCTTTCTGGGTGGAGTTTGCATGTTCTCTCCGTGCATGCGTGGGTTTTCTCCGGGTACTCCGGTTTCCTCCCACAGACCAAAAACATGCATGTTAGGCTGATTGGTAACTCTAAATTGTCCCTAGGTGTGAGTGAGAGAGTGAATGGTTGTTTGTCTCGTTTGTCTCTATGTGTCCCTGTGATGGACTTGCGACCTGTCCAGGGTGTACCCCGCCCCTCGCACTGTGATTGCTGGACATGGGCACCAGCGACCCCCGTGACCCAAAATGGAATAAGCAGGTAAAGATAATGGATGGATGGATGGTTCATTTGGCCACCAGGTGCCAAAATGTTACAAATTCAGCTTTTTATTTCGATTCAAAAGTCTAAACCAAAAATATATATATATTTTTTAAAAAGCACAGATTCTACAAAAAAAATCATTTTGTTTAAATTTTCCCATACTTTTTGAAGATCAACCTAAACAGTAACAGTAGTAAAATTTTTGACCGGGCGAACCCAAACTTCTGCATGCTTCTGTGCGTTCAGGCTGTTTGTTACGGTGTGTTTTTACAGGAGAGCAGGGCAGAGCTTGGACAGCAGGCAGCAAGCTGCACCTACTCCAATGTGGGAGGGGAGGAAGAGGAAGGGGTGTCAATGCAGTTTCTGTCTTTTCCCCCAACCCCCCAAAAACCAAGAACAATGCAACACTACAGTGGGCAACCGTAGCTTGCTACATTAAAGCCATGGCTCCACAACGAGCAAAAAGAAAAACTATATATATATTAAAAAAATAAATAAATCTATTTTTACAATGTGGCAAAACATCCTAATGCGTTTTCAGTTTTGTGCATTTCACATGCTTTTCTGGGCGTCTGCATTGTCCCGCACATTCTCTCAGCAGTCCAGAATGCAAAATTGATAATGGTGGAAAAGAAGTTGCTGGTTGAAATGAAAAAGAAAAAAACTACAAAAAAAAAATAATATATATATATATATTTATAATAAAACAAAAACAAAGCAGCATTCACTCCATTCCTGGATGCTGTGTCTAGCAAGTGTGGTTGAGAGGTTTCATTTGAATTGAAGTCAAACCTTGCAGGCCACCCTATGAGGGCATTTCTTGCCTAAGCCAAGAGGCGGGTCGATAACTCGTAATAAACTGTACATGTCCTTATAATGTATGCGCCCACTGCAAGAAGAATACAGGGGAGTTAAAAACGCACACAAACAGGAAATAAAGGAAAAAAGAAAAGAAACATTTAAAGAGAAGAGAGGACATTGGTAGCAGGAGCACAAGAAGAACACTGTATTTGGAAATACTTCAAAAATGGACAAGACACAGAATAAACATTGTAAACACATCACTTCACTGTAAAACATGTCCCTTAGTTCTGCCTAAATCTGATCTATTTTGATGCTCTGCCTCTTCCTTAGTTTGACACCCCTTTCCTTTATTCAACCCAAGCCCAATTTATTTAACAATATGAATTAGGAGCAAACACACAGGAAAAGCCAGTGCTTGGTAATTGCTTAATAGCTGCTTGAGAGGTGCCCGCCCTCTTAACTACATGTTTAGTCTTTGTTTCCTGTTGTGTTTTCTCTGCAAGGCAGTCTTCTCAAAGCTGTGCAGTACAAGGTTAAAGAATAAACTGTTTTATTTTTCATCATACAGCAGTCCTTCCTTTATCACGAGTGATCCGTACCCTGAAGACCCACGATAAGTGAAAAACCGTGATGTAGGGATAATAGTACAAGTAGTATATATATATATATATATATATATA